ATATGTGCTGGTGATCCTCAAGACTGGCACCACAAATATCCTCTCAGATGTTCTAAAGTTAAAAGTTAAATAATTAAATGGTAAATGGCCTGTATAGCGCTTTACTAGTCCCTAAGGACCCCCAAAGCACTTGGGCACACACGCAGTGATTATTGCACACTTTCTGTAAATCCAATAAACTTCATTTCACTTCTCAAATATCACTGTGTGTGTCTCCTATATGATATATTTAACTGACACTTTGCATTGTAACAACCAACGATTTATACAGGAAAAGAATCACTATTAACAAGGTTGCCCAAACTTTTGCATCCCACTGTATATACTGAACATCGGTGTTACAATAGAGCCTTAACCATAACACTAAATGTACATTTTTTCTTCTTTAAATATAGGATTTAATTTACAGGGTAATAAAGAATTGGTTTAGGTTTAGAATGAATTTACTTATAGAATCACATAACACTGTATTACTGTAAAATAAGTGTGCACATTTTAGTTTACACTGTTATGTATGTCTGATTTAATCTTTCTTTGATTTCTAAGTTACCTCAGTGGCAGCTGCTCCCAGTCCCTTATGAGCTGTAAATTGGGTCATACATGTTTTGTGTGTTCTACGCCTCTCTTTGTTTTGTTTGTGTTTCCTGCTGCTCACACACAGCATTAGAAAAGCCTGAAAACTCAGTGATCACCTCAATGAGCTCCAAATGTTTGCATGTAGGACTGAGAGCAAAGGTCAGTGTGTGAGTGTTTCTGTGTATTAAATAATAAACTACTGGATCAGTCTGATCCTGTTATCATCCTATTATTTCATCAATGACTCTCAGTCAGTCATTGTAAATGACCTCATTAATATTTATTAATATTTTCCTTCGTAAATTGGTTCATACGTGCATATTATTCTGTTCTAGCTTGGACACAGCTAATGTTTTTATTTGGAAAAGTGTAGAACGACCAGGTGTCAAACATCAGTCGATGTAAACTATACAGCAGCACGAGCGGGCACGCTCCGTTTTGCGTAACTATTTTTAAATCCCGGTAGCTCTGCAACCACGTGAGCTAGCGCAATAATTTTTTTTGCATATGAAACC